CATGTTTGGAAACTGAAGACGACTAGCCATTGGTTGAGTGTAGGACAGCGTAATCAACATTTCATATTTGGATTTTGGAGATCGTCTTTTAAGCTCTATTTATAGAGATTCCTGCGTAGGTAGGTAGTGATAGCATAAAGCAGGTAACAGTGTAAAAATAAGTTTGGTGAATAATAATGTAGTTACGTTGTTGAATTGGTAAATGGTAAAGTACATGAGTTGATTGTTGATAAGAAAATAAACAGAAAAATGCTCTACAATGGTTACCGGCGGCTTGCCGCCACCTGGACCGACCGGCATGGTTTCTTCTAGATTTCTCCAACCGGTAACAGTAGTAACGCCAACCCAACTTGGCTACGTGTTCTGTTGGTTTGTACTTCAATTTGTAGTTCCATTTTGATAAGTCAAATTTTTCCACTTCTTCCAACTATATTCTTTAACCATTTATCATCTCTAAGTTTTGTTTTTTAATAACAATTATTAATCATACCATAATTATTACCCAAATTATCAACTATACTTTTAATATAATATAATTCTACAATTATGAATTATTTAAAAAAAATTATATACTATTATATAAAAAATATTTCAATATAACTATGATTTTACTACTAACTACTAAGTATTAATATTGAACATATATTTTTGCACATCGCACATAAAAAAGACTAGTATAATTAATAGACATGAATATGATGAAATGCAACTTATTGCATGACTTTGTTTAACATGTGTTAGATGTGAGAAATTGCAACTCCATCTTTTTTTTTTTTTTTGTGGTTAATTATAATTTAAGATGAGTTTAAGAGTCGTATACAACTTTTAAAGGTAAAAGTTATATTTAACTTATGCGATCTTCTCTCATATAATATAGTCTTCATAGTTTAGGTGATGAAATAAACTTATCCAAGGAAGTGTTCATGATAAATTTATTCATGTGTAAAAATAGCTTATTCCTAACTCAGATAAAAGAGGTTAATCGCACTAAAAAAAAACCTTTGTCGCTTACTCAACCAAGAATATAATGTGTTGGCAACAATAAATTAAAATAGTTTTCATATATAGTTGGTCAATACAAACACCAACTAGTAAATGTAAATATTTAAAATGCCCACCTACTTTGGGTAGTTCTATTTTGTTTATAGTTTTTTTTTTTTTTTTTTTTTAAAGAAGAAGAAGAATCTATTTTGTTTATAGTTAGTCCTTAGATAGTAGAATAGTAGATTATGAATAAGAACATATAATTAAGTCTTAGCAGATGCAATATAATGTGAGTTTTTGTAGACAATAATAAATAGTGAAAGTATAAAAGAGATTGAGAATAACCTGATCCGCATGGATTGTTATGTTGTGCAACCGTGTGCACCATGCATGGTGCACATGGTCTGGATTCATAATTTCTATATTGTAGATTCATAATTTAAATACAATAGATTCATAATTTCTATACTGCAGATTCATAATATCTGTACTGTAGATTCATAATTTCTGTACTGTAGGTTCATAATTTTTAAATTGTATAGTTATCAAATTATGAACATATAATTATGTGATTTGTGAATACAGATCAGAGTTCAACAATTGGGAATATGAAATCGAAAATTATGAACATAACTTGGCCGCTGATAATTAGGTCATTATATCATTAATCATAATTTCTAAATTGTATAGTACAGTTATCAAATTATGAAAATTATTGATAACATAGCTTCGTTCAGATTTGGATCTCCATCCAACAATAGTTACGCCAACCTAACTTGACCTGTAACCATATATTCATAGTCCTTAGGCAATATATGCATTTGTCTACTTTTTATTACAAATGAAAAAATTGCAACTTAGATAATGACTGGCATGCATGGGATCTTGATCCGAATCACATGCATGCACTGCACTATGATGTCCGTCCAGATTTGATGGTTTAAACTGTACGTACCGAGAAAGAAATTTTGGGAAAGTTGATAGCTATACATATGGTCACTTATATGATCTCACATTGGCTCCGCAAGAAATTATGAAGTAGTATTTAAATTGGGACCAAACTTTTACTCATGACTTAATTATTTTTATGGTGAAATTAAGGTCTTAACATTAAATTGGGATCAAACTTCCACTCATAACCTAATTATTTTTATGGTGAAGTTAGGGTCTGGATCATTGCCAACCAATGGCGTATCATCACTGCACTCTCTAGAAATTTCCTGCTGGCTGCTGGCCAAGGGTTTGTCGGATTATTATATTGACACCAATTTTAGTCTAATTGGTGTCTTTTAATTCGCATGTCCCAATTAATCCATTTTCATTACCAATAAATGATGGTTTCATCACATCTAGTTTTCTTTACTAGTAGAAGTACTTTAAAGAGTAGGGTGAGCATAATTCAGATTATCCCAATTAATACTTGAAATTCAAATCAAATTTTAAATGTTGGGTTAATTTAAATAGTTATTAACTTGGATATTTTTAATTATAGTATATTCAAATATAAATTTAGTTGTTTTAAAAAATATATAAATTTAGTTTGAATATCGTGTTAATTTTTTTTTTTTTTTGGGAGTGCTACTGACTCTGTTACAATATAGTATCTGTTCATAATTATTGTAGCAAATTATGTTGTGCGTGCACACGGTTACAAAATGACGTCGTTTTGACTAAAAACGCGCGTCCCACTTAAAAAAAAAAATCAGTTTCCAGAATGAATGAACTAAATATCTAGAATGAATGAACTAAAAATCCAGAATGAATGAACTAAAAATCCAGAATGAATGAACAACATAATATTGTAGAGGGGAATCGAAACTGGATTTTTAAAAAAAAAATTGGGGTGCGCGTTTTTGTCAAAAAGACGTCGTTTTTGCAACCGTGTACACCATGTATAGCATAACCACCGGAGCTTAGGCCTAAGGCAGCACTTTGGGCTAGGCCTTCTTATGGGTGTAGCAGTTGTTATACCATGGACCAGGGTCAAGTGGACCCTAGTCCTAAATTGTATGTTTTTAATATTAGAATTGTGAACTTCTAGAATATAAATTTTATTTTTAAATTTTGAGAATTTGTGAATACAATATAGGGTCATCACAAATTATGAACTTTTAAAATGTAAATTGTGTATCTTTGAATCCGGGTCCACAAAATAATTTGCATGGGCGTAGACCTTCTGCTCAAGATGACAATGCATGGAGTGCAAGGTGGCAAATTATTCTGTGGACTCGGTCAAAAAATATACAATTTATATATTGAATGTTCACAATTTTATATACTAAATATTCACAATTTACTTACTGAATATTCACATTCAGTATATGAATTGTGTATTTTGAGCCAAAAAGTCTATGACATAACTGTTGGTGCAAGGTAGCAAGAACCCGCTTATGAAATCATGTTTAGAAAAGTTGTGTGCTTAAAGAAACTAGCCTAAAATCAACAGTATATATATATATTATATAGTACATCTTTAGGAATATGTTTACAAAAAAGTCTAAATTTACCAAATTTATATAGTAAATCTTCAAGAATCTGTTTACCATCAGCATTCTTCTTCACTCTTTCTTACAATTACCCCTCCTAATTAAGTTACGAATTTATGTTAATTTTCCCTTCGATTGCCAGACCATAAAACCATCCGTATTGTTTCTTTTTCAATACATTTGGAGTGAGCAATGTAATGGACAATTAATATAATACAATTTAACTTATGTCTATTATTTCTTTTTATTAATTATGTTATGTTTCAAATGACGGAGAGTGTGAATTATACAATATTTTACTTCGAAAATCATATTAATAATGCAGCAAAGTGGAACATCCCATCCGCTTTTGCAATTTGATCCTAAACAAATATTTTTTTTATTGGAATGACACCCAAACTACTAATTGCCTTTATTGAGACTCAAACCTATCACCTCCCACTTAAGGGAGCAACCGAATATCATTGGACCACAAAGTCCTTGGTTTGATCCTAAACAAATATAAACCAAGTTTTTTGATGAACTGGAATTTTAATTTCATCTAGAAGTCATTTTACTGTTTTATGAAAAATTTTTCAATTATATTCACCATCCTGACTTGTATTGCTACTTGACCGAAAATAAATAAACAATTAGGGATTTATAATATCACAATTATTATTATTAAAAAAAAAAAAGAATTGCAATAATTTTATGATTGCTGGCATTTCATTTTCAATATCCTGGGTAGACAGGTAGTTGGTAGAATGGTACTATGTTAGTTACTTTCGTAGGTATCATAGTTGACTTAATTGGAACTTGGTAGGGATGGACCAGCTATATGACAAAATATGGGACCAATATAATATGAAGTAATAAAATACAAATTCTCAAATAAATCATCTGATTATAATTATAATATAATAATAGTTGAAGATAATGAGGTGTTTGATAAATGGTTTTAGTTTAGTTGATTGGGTTAGTGGCTTTGACTAGCTGATAGTATTAGTTGATTATAAAAATAAAAATAAAAAAAAAAGTATTCGGTAAATTAGTTGTTAGCTGTTAACTGATTACATACAAAATGACTTTTTCAAAAAGTTGATTGAAAAAAATACTTTAAATAGTTGTTTGAATTTTAAAATAATAAATTGTTACAAAAAGTTAATTAATCAAACACTTTATATAGATTGTTTAACCAAATCAAACAGCTAATAATAATTAAATAAACTAAAATTGACTAATAAGTTAATTATTCTACCAAACAGCGCTCACAAGTATTTTATTAACACTAGACATAGGAAGATGAGTTGGAGATAAACATAAACAATTACTCCGTATCGATCTTTATCCAATTAATGGATAAGAAAAGGATTCCAATACTCAACACCATCCATTAATATCTAATTTCATGTCCAACCAGAATTATATCTTATTTAAGTAAATAATTTATAAATAAATTAGGTATAAAATTAAAAATTATACTCAATTATAATTAAACAAGTACTATCAAAAGAAGCCTATGTATACAGGGACAGCCCGGACAGGGTTACCAAAAGTAACGTCTTTCCTTCCTATAAAACATAGTAACTTTCTCAAGTCATCCTCTGAAATTTGCGTTACTATCCAATTATAGCGATAGCTCGTTGCTCTCTGTTTTCCGCTACGGTGAATCATATCTTCAAGGCATGAAGTTCTTGTCGGAACTCGGAGCTTGTTGGGGTGGCGCTACCATAACGCCGCCCCCGCAGACGCGGACTGCCGACAACCTCCCGCAACCGGAGACGGCCGCCGGGAGTCAGAACCGTGCCGCCACCAGGCAGGGACGAAGCATAAACGCAACAAAAGTAGTAGCCAACTGGAAACCGGAACTGCATGACATCTGCGAAGAAAAGGTGTTGTCTGATTCTGATTTGGATGGGAGGATTCACGGCGGCGCTGCTCGGATGGTTAAGAAATCGTCGCCCAAAATCAAACCTAGTTCTATGACGACTAAGGTTTCAATGCTCGGCGAGGGTTTCCGGTATTCAAATTAAACGCTCTTCCTCTTTTATTTTTTTTAATATGAAAAATATAATTTAATTATAACTAATTAATTTATAAATACCTAATAAATTTATTTATTGAATATCAATTTTTTTTTTTTTTGGGTGTTGCAGGAAATCATATCGAATTGCCATGAATGCTTTCGTTCCATCGCCATACATGATATGAATAGTATTGGATGCACATCAAGTAGTCTTCTGCTATTATATTTTTGAGAGCAGTTTTCTGCTATTATATATTCAGCTCATATGTATATGGATCTTTGAACAATTAACAGCCCCTCCTTTTGTAACCTTTACTTTTACTTTTATTGTAAACTGCAATATTTGGGAAGAGATTGAGTTGGAGACTTGGAGTTGGCAAGCCAAGCTTTTGATTATTGTGAATGCGATACATCATCATCCCAATTTCACTGCAAAAAATTCTATCTGAATTTCGCAAAAATGTTTACTGAATATTTGTGTTGCCACCAAGTAATTTTAAACATCATTAAGAGGGTCGGAATGTATTGAATGGAAAAGAAAATTAATTATGTTTGTTTCGCTTAAGCTTTTCTTGAATTTTTTTTTTTTAAATCTCTAATATATCATTATTATATTATATATAAACATTAAAAAAGCATACTCAGTAACAAATAATTGAGAGTTTAATAAATTATTTGTAAATTAATAAACTATATACAAAAGTAAAAATAAAAATTAAGCAATGTTGGTTGAATAGACAAATTTCTTATATTTATAAGAGACTCTCCACGACTTACCTCAATTACTTGGTGACGAGTAAATACACGTAAAGGACTAATCTGCTGTGGAGCTGGTCTCCACCTGGACGGTCCATCAAGAACCACCCAGCTGGTCTGTTACAACCATCAACGAAACTAAATCACTTGTGACCAATTCATTCTCGTATTAATCGGTCTCGTGATTGGTGAAGACACTCTCGGATCACTCGAGGAATCACCCCAATGGAGTGCCACCCGGTCAGTTTATATGCAAGGGGCAGGGTGACTGGTGACTTGCAGGAATGACAGCTCTCTTACCTCAAACAGTTAACCTACACGTAGTTACTAGGTGACCCCACGTCACGCCACTTGCAACGGAGCATTAAATGCTTAAATCGACTTGTGATTTACTCTACATAACAATCTACTTCACTTGTAATTGTTCGTTACTTGTAATATAACATAGTCTCGGATCGCTCAGTCGTCATCTGATAGACCGACCGACCCGCCAAGCGCCATCTTTTACTTGTTCATAACATTCGTATTCATAAAGTAGTCATAACTCCCGATTCTATTTACGTTATCACCCTAGAATATTATATTATCAATTTTATAATATGTAATTCATCAATACAGTTGTCAATACAGGCGGGCAGGGCGGACCAAAAAAGCCCACTCCTTGACAAGTTTGGGTTTTACTGGCCCAAACCACCTCATACCTGACCTGCAAGCTAGGCAAGCCCCAGCGGCAAATTATGCTGTACATCTGTATGCACCATGCATGGTGCATATGGATGAAAAACGTCGTCGTTTTATTAAAAACGCGCGTCTCCCCTTTGAAAAAAAAAACCAGGTTCGATTCCCATCAACAACATATGAACGAAAATTCCAGAATTGATGAACTATAATTCCAAAATCTATGAACTAAAATTACAGAATCTAATCTATGAACTAAAAATTTCAGAATGAATGAACTAAAATTCCATAATTTATGAACTAAAATTTCAGAATCGATGAACTACAATTTCAAAATCGATGAACTATAATTCCACAATCAATGAACTAAAATTTCATAATCTATGAACTAAAATTCCAAAATGAATGAACAACGTAATGTTGTTGTTGGGAATCGAACCTGAATTTTTTTTTAAGAGGAAACGCGCGTTTTTAATAAAACGACGTCGTTTTTGCATCCGTATGCACCATGCATGGTGCATACAGATGCACAACATAACTACTCAGCCCCAGCCACACCACTTTTTTTTTTTTTTTTTTTTTTTTTTTGGTTCTAACTCTAGAGTTTTTTGTTTGTTAAGTTTTACCATTTGTACTCTAAAAACAATTTTAAAAACTTGTTACATAACTAACATAAGAGATATATAGCTCATCAAACATTAGATATTACATAATACATAACAAGTATAAAGTCCATAGTCGAAAATTTTAAAATATTAAACTAAGGTTATGGTTATTACTTATTAGGTTATAGTTAGATTTTATAATATATATATATATATATATATATATATATATATATATATAATAAGTGGCAGGCGGACCAAAAAAGTCCGCTCCTTGGGAACTGCTAGTCTTGAAACCCATCTCCTACAACAATTTATATCGTGTACTACGTCGCACATAGCAATGTGCGTCCAGGCACAAAACGACGTCGTTTCAATTGCTGTTGACGGGGATTAACGTAACGGACGCCACTCCGTCCGTTCAAACGGACTAAACCCCATTATGTGTATTCAGTTAAAAGTTTCTCTGTTTTGTGTTATGAGTTTATGTGTATTATGTTAAGAGTTTATGTGTATTATGTTATGAGTTTATATGCATTATGTTAAGAGTTTATGTATATATATTATGTATTATGTTAGATTATGTGTATTCTATTATGAGTTTATGTGCATTCAAAACAGAGAATTTTTTTTTTTTTTTTTTTTTTTTTGACAATGCACCAAAATGACGTCGTTTTGGAAGGCGCAAAGCGCACATTGCTATGTGCACCGTGGTGCACGGTATAATGATTGATCCCTGGTAGGGAATATCCCGACCGACATAGCTTCACCACGACCGAGAAGCCTTTGTCCTTTTCTCTTTGTCTTTGCAGGTAACAGGTCGGGCTCCTTGAGAAGAACCCGGTCGGGGGCCGACCGGGAGTTGCCCGAGCGACGGTGTCGACTGCCGAGCGGTAGCCCTTTGGCGAGAGAGCTGACGAAAGACACGTGGTGGCTACGTGGAGGGCATGCCGAACGGCTGGAATCCTGTCCCCGGCATAGCGGCTATAAATACCCACAGTAGCTACAGTTTAAGGGACTTTTGGACGATCGATAGGTTGTTGTTGGAGAATCCCGACCGCAGTCAGTCGGTACTCAGAGCAACCAAGTAGATTGTACTTAGGGCCTTTACCGTGATCAATAAAGATTTTTACTTGCTTTAATTGATCTCGTGTTGTTATATATTGCTTACGTATAATTAGCAGTATCATTTTGGCGCCGTCTGTGGGGACCCGTGCAAGAAACCAACGTCTTGACGAGCACCCGATCGTTACATCGACATGTATCCGTGGGCACACAACAACTTTGCCGACGACCAGGCGGATGCGGCGAGCTCCTCCGACCACTATGCTACTCAACAGCAGGGTCAGACGATGGACCTCAACCTCAACCTCTCACCACCGCATCCATCAAATGCATACCCGGCCGCCCAACAGCCGGTGAATTACATACAACCGGGATACCCAACACCCGGTCTGCCATACCAACAGCAGCCGATGATGTATCCCGCCCAGTATCCGTACCCGGTCCCACCTCCGCCGTATGGGTATTGGCCAGGCCAACCGATGTGCTACACTCCCCCGGTTGGCTATCCACCATATACGCCTGCTTACACGGCTCCAGCCGCCGCCCCTCCAGTACAACCGACCGCACAGGTAGAGCCGCAGCGTCAGTCCGCATCCCGGGCTCGACGCTCGGCTCATTCGCGGTTGGGGTCGGGGGTGCTGATGCGATGGAGGCACCAGCTCAGGCCGTTCAAGCGGAGGACCCTGAAGAAGTTGCCCGAGCGGTAGCTTTTGATCGTCTTCGACCGGAGATGCGCCAGCGTTTGGGACCCCAAGACCCGAACCGCGGGCAAGAAGACGTACAAATGCAGGAGGCTAGTCAGGAGGCTTCATCTGGGTATAGCGGGTCGAGATCTCACCGACGGCGACGCGCTCGGGATACAGCCCAAGCCGCTCAAGCCGCCGAGCTCAACGAAACCCGAGGATTACTGTATAACCTCCAGGCGGAAGTTGCGCAGCTCAGGAATGCGTACCCTGCAACACCCCCGGTCAACCAATCGACCCTGCACCAGACGCCTTTCACAGCAGCGGTAATGGCCCAGCCTTACCCACTCGACTTAAAGGTCTCTGGGGAGAAGAGTTACGACGGACGGGCAGATCCTGAGGCCCATGTGAATGATTTTTTCAGCAACATGATGCTGAAGGGCGTTTCGGACGCCGTGATGTGCAGGGCCTTCTACTCGACCCTCACCGGTCGGGCGGCAGAGTGGTTCCGTACCCTGCCACCGGGGTCGATTGATAAATTTGAGACCCTGGCGATCAAATTCGTGAGGAAGTTCATCACTTCCAAAGTGGTGAGGAAGTCCTACATGTATCTCGAGAAGGCCAAGCAGCTAGAAGGGGAAAGCTTGACCGATTTCCTCATTAAATGGAAAGCAGCAGTCGGGGAGGTCGAGCCTATGGACGATGCGACCGCCACCCACATGCTTCACATATCTCTCCAGGCGGGATATTTGTATCAGGACTTCATCCTACACCCCCCGACCAGTTATGAGGAGGCCCTTCGGAGGGTCACAGACTACGCCAACGCCGGCGAGGCGAATGCCGTAAAGCGCTTGCAGGAGGTCGGCTCTTCGTCTCGTAAACCGGCCGTCCGGGCGGAGCATCGGTCGGGAGATGACAATCCCCGATCCCGCACCAGGCCTGGCGGGTTTACGGCCTTGAATCGATCCGCAGCGGAGGCCATGCAGTACGCCCAGTCCTGCAATCTCATCAAACTCCCCCATCCCGATCGAGACGGCCCTGACAAGAGTAAGCACTGTGCTTACCACCGATGTGCCGGGCATGACACCGAGGAGTGTACCCACTTACGCCAATTGTTGGAAGATCTGCTCAACCTGGGAAAATTGGACAAGTGTGTGGGGAAGAGAGAGGACAACAAGAAGAATGCCGATCGGAGAGATCATAGGCGTTCTCATCACCGCTCCGATCGGTCAGGTCAGGACCGAAGAGACGACCGAAGGGACGATCGTCATGATGACCGACGGGACCCTGACCCTCCGTCCGGTAGTCGCCCGTCCGGAAAGCCTACCATCCACGTCATTTTTGGTGGGCTGGAAGATGCTTCCCGACCGCGGACTAATTGCCCGGTCGCAATAGTGGATTCCCGGGAGACCGGGAAGAGGCAGAAGATGGAGCCCATAAC